AGAGAGAGAGAGAGATAGAGGGAGAGAGAAAGAGAGAGAGGGGGGATGGAGAGAGAAAGAGAGAGAGAGAGAGAGAGGGGGGGTTGAAAAAGTTTCTTTACAGAATCTCACTTGTTTAGCAATTGCGTGTTAACTGTGGACACATAAATGAATTATTGTCCGTCTTTCTACGCACCTGTCACCTTTTTAATTTATTTGTGTTTCATTTGTCAAAAGACATCCAAAAAGGAGGAGTTGATAGGAAATACATTAAAAATATAGACACTTCCATAAATAAATAAACATTTTGCTCGACACCACTTTTTTTAAAGGCACATCATTATCATACTCTACGTCAAAGGGTATACACCGGCAATCGTACAGGAGAGAAGACAAAGAACGGACATAATCATAGAATATGTTTGGGGGCGTACTGACTTGTGAACAAGTCTAACACAAAATATAAAGCGAAAGAAAATTATTATAGTGGGGATTTAACAGCGACCTTCCTCAAAAATGTTTTCGACGCGCCAACTTTGCCACAAACGCAACCAAGTTCCGCTTACAGGACTTATTAAGCCTAATAGGCTCATTTTGACACAATCAGGATACGCTTGTACAGACATATTATTTTTAATATTCGCCTGCGCTGCTGTTCGGTCGCAAGTGTGCCTTGCCTGTGCCCCCTCTCTCTCTCTCTCTCTCTCCCTCTCTCTCTCTCTCTTTCCAACGCTTTGAAGATTTTAATGCTTTGCGTAACGACGTTATTTTCCCCTTCTACCACACAGAATACAACGTCGATTTTAGATCCACTTATTGGGAGAGAGATGGAAGACAGAGAGACAGACAGAGAGAGAGAGAGAGAAGGAATCAAAGGACAACGTGAATTCCTCGGAACTATGAGCAAGTTTTACGAGGTAAGCAAAGAACATGCACATCTATTTTCATTGAGCAACAAACCAGATTCTTGATCATACTTACTTCAATAAGACTATGATTTCTCTAAATTGCATAATATTTTCTATGACTCTTATGCAGGAATATAATTCGAAGCAAGTAAGCCTAGAGATCTTTAGAATGGACAATGTAGATTTCTTGATCTACATTTAAAGAATGTGTGTCTTGCATGAGAAAGTCGTAATCGTGAGTCTGCAATTTCTCTCTCTGCTATTGTGTTTCGTGCGCATGAAAGCATCCGTCTTGAGTCTGAATTGTTATGCCGGTGTAATAATGTGTGCCTTCCATGTGAAAACTGTGTGATTTTGTTAGTATTGCATTTGAAAGCCGCCATCTTGAATGTAGATGGTCTGAATTATACTAATTATCGGTGGATAATGCATAATCAAATCTGTTCTCTAATTTTAACCGAAGCCCAGTAAAAAGGTAATAATATTCTCTTGCTGCTTTATAAATTATGTTTAGAACAAAACCCAATGTAAACTTTAGCCACTCCATCCTTGGAAGAGTACCTTAAACGCCCTGTCAAAATATGGATAGGCCTAGGCCGCTATCGGAACTTGAGCACACAAAACTATGTATTCATTATGTAATACATGTAGAACGAATGGGCTTTTTAATTTCTTTTTGGAGGTGTAAATTGATTTGTTGGGTTTTCTCTCTTAAACAGTAACATCGAACCGGTGGTATTATAATAACTATATTTTACGTTTTTAAATCATTACTGTTGTCTGTGATGCTCAAACAATGTGAACGTTGTTGTCCTTTCAGCAGAGGAAAAAAAGGTTAAAATGAATAGCCTACTTTTCAAAGTTGGTTATAATTAATCACCCAAACATATTAAACCATTACCATTTTCGAAAACAGATTCTAACAGAGAATTTTGTTGTTTGTACCAGTTTATGATTTCATCATCTTCTTCTGTTGTACATATGTATTCTAACTTTCTTTTTTACATAGTGTCGTGAATATCTAAAGTATCTGTCTAGGGGCCAGGAAAAAACAAATAATATGAACATCTGAACTAATTAAGATATGCTACACAATGTTATCAAGCAATTTGGAATTATGATAACAAAAACAATCAGAAGATTAATAATAATAATAATAAT